TGTAAATTAAAACCAAAACAAAATTCTAATCATAAATTTGCACCTATTATTTTCTACCAAGTCTGTTGGCAACAACGGTCCTCATACACCTGACTCAAGAATACTTAGCCAGATATGTTACTAATTAAAAATGCATGAATAATTATAGTTACGATGAAAAAAGACATAGAAATTAAATTTTACAAACAAATTAGTAATAATAATTAATGCGATAAAAAAGAATAACAATTATAATAATAATAAAGCGGTAAAATGAAGAACCTGTAAATGCAGAAAATGGAAACAAAGAAAACTTAAATTTAAACAACCGACAAACTTAGATTTGTTACATAAATTAAACGGTAGAAATAAATCCTAAAACTAATTTGGTAATAGTCCCCCGATGTGGAGAACTATTACTTTTACATTCTAAGAAAGAGCTATGAATGAAAAATTGTGGAAAAATGGGTGAGAGAGCGAGAGCCCTTGTTGCAAACTGCCTTGCTTTTATATCCTTTGATGTGTCGCATCCGCCGGGAGAAAATAGGGGTAGTGACATCATGGAGAGAGTATTAAGGAAGAATTGGTTGGATAAAAAATAGGATGAAATGGTTAGTTGGTTTTAGTCTTAGAGGACTTAGTGTGTGGAGAAAAAGTAGGAGCAGTTGGTTTGATATTTGACTATGAGAAAACTTCGCAGAAAGATAGTTATGTGGCGCTGGAAAAGGTCTCGTGACGAGGGGCAAGGTTGCGTGGGGCACATCAAGCATGCCAACCGTCAAGGGTGGGTAACGAGCGTCACCCTTTCCTTTTTTGCTTCTGCCGATCGTCACGGTGGGTGTGACGAGCGTCACACCTTACACACGTGGGCCACGCGCTTATTTCTTTGTGGGCCTTGGGTTCTTCGTGGGATTTTTATTTTCTTTTATATTATATGCATTTTTACTTCATTTGTTCTCATTTTTACTCCTTTTCTCAAGCAAGCTTTGTAAACATTAAATTCTTGAAGCACATTAAAATACTAGCATAATACCAACATAAAGCAACATAATTAAAATAAAATAGAGACATAATTTATGTTAATCAAGCCAAATATACTATATATTTTCGTGTTATCACACTCCCCACCAATATCTATGGGGGGAGGAGTGAATATGAATATTTACATCTTCCTTCCATATCAAGTAGAGGCCCCCTGATATCTCCCTACCAGCACCATTACAATCAACAATAAAAGTAAGCTTGTATCCTAATTTCAATAAAATCCACTACATTTCTCCAGTCTTCAATCTAGTTTCAATAATAAATACCAAAGAGGGGTTCTCAAGACGAATGAGCCGAACCAGGGTTCGAACCGCATGGGGGTTCCCCAGGCCCCTGTAGTTCCAACTTAGAATTTTCATTGGTTCAAGTGGTGTTGGTCCTCCAACACCACCTTTGGTAAAGAATTTTGCATCACTTGTGTAGACATCTTCTGCTTCCTCTTTTTCTCGCCATTACTGCAATCCTCTATTGAGTCTTTGGTTATCATGACATCAATCATCTGTCTTTTAGAATTGTCTACGACCTTCTCTTTTCATTGAGAGTTGACATTCTTCTTCACCCCTTTCCTTAACCCACTTCCTCTTTTGAATCACCAGAGCTTTACCTTGGACATCCCCGTTGTTTTTCTAAGCAGAAATATCCACTGCTCCAAGAGATTCAGGAGATGCCTCAATGTCCAGATTCTTGTCCTTTTTAGCTACAGTTTTCTTATTCTCTACTCTGGCCAATTCCCCATCACTCTTGGATTATTGAACCTCTAACTCTTCGACATTTATTTTTCCTTTTGATCCGCGCCTGGTTTGGCTGGTGGATGAATGAAACAAATTATTTCTACATGTTCCTGAACTCGAATCCTTCTTCTTTTTATCTACAATCAACTTTGGTAAGGGTGAGGCTCTGAGCTATTGGTTGTACAATACATCTTGTTCCTCTAACTCCTCAAAATCCTCTCCAATAAGTTCCTAATAGGATTCACAATCTTTCATCTTATGCCATAATCTTCTGTATATGAAACAAAAGTTTGGTAATCTTTCACACTTAAAATGAACCCTCATATCCTTGTCTTTGAATTTTACCACCGTTCCTATTTTCAATGAGGCTTTTAGATCTAACGTAACCTTGATTATCAGGAAACTCTCAGTCCTGCAAGCTTCCCTAAAATTCATCGCCTCAAAAGTTCCAAGAACGCTACCTATTTTGCGGGCCATTCTTTCAGATCTAAGCATCATCGAAAGCTCATATATCTTTACCCAGAAGGATCCATAATGCATGTTAAGTTCTGAAGGTTGCTTTTCCCCAAAAATGTGATTCAAGACCAATAAGGATATATCAAAGCTCCACGGGCCACTTCTAAGCATATAATCCAGATCTCTTTTGTAGCGAACTTGAAAAGAAAGAGATTCTTGCTTAGATCTTGGATTTCAACCCGATTCTTCAGCTTCCATGCACTTAGCATAGTACTTTTGAAGGCTCTAGCATTAAAACTGTTCTCAGTCCACACCTTCCCCGCAAGAGTTCATTAAAATAACTCCTCTTTACAGATTTCATCCTCTACCGTTACAACACCTTCTTCCTCCTCCTTCGAAAACGATATATCTTTCCATTTGTCCATCAGCAACCCAAAACCCCAACCACCAAGAGCAGAACAAACAAGACCCAAAAACCCACCGAAACAAGGGAGAAATAAAGCACCAGCGAAGTTGGAGGGACAACCAGAAAAATATGTGGAAAAAAGCCGCCTCAAACCCTAGGAAGGAAAGATGAGGGAGAGACACGATAAGTTTTTAGAGAGAGAAAGACTAACTTCTCTCTAGAAAAAATGCGTGAGCAGGAGTCAATACATTAACCAAGTTTGATTGTTAAATGTAGATCATATGCTTAAATTTTTAAGTTTGGTTGTTAAATGTATATGACATACTATACTAGTACTTAGGGGTGTAATTGGTTCAATTTGGGCTGATTTTTAGTAAAAAATTTGTCTGAACCGATGATAACTCTATTGGTTTGGTTTGGTTTGGTTTTTAATTTTTATTTATTTATAAAATGGAACCAAACTAAACTAACAAATTTGGTTCGGTTTGGTTGATCAATTTTCAACATTTTTTTTCTTAAACATTATATCCATCGATATATTATTTGCTATCATGTTTTTCGTTATATTTTATACTATTATTTTTTTAAATAATAGATTTCATATAATATATTTCATACTATATTTTTCAAACAACTTACAAGTTGTTCTTCATCCATATGAAATATTGACATGATTTTCATACGTCATGAAATAATTTGATTTTTTTTAAATAACCAACTTTTAAAGTTTAATTATCAAACTAACCAACCTTCCCCAATAATTTTCAACCTAACCTTATTTTAAAAAAAAGTGAATTAAAGAAGAGGCGCCAATAATTGGTGCCTCCTATATTTTTTTTTCAATCTTTTCTATTTATCTTTGGATTTTTCTGCAGATTTGACGTTTCCTGCGAATTATTTTTCCGCAGGTAATTCCGTAGGAAAATCCGCAGGTAAGTCTGCAGGTAATATCAATTATGCGGATAAATCCGCAGATAACTCAAAAAGTTTGAAAAATATATAGAAGGCGCCAATTCAATTGGCGTCTCCTCTTTAATTCACTTTTTTTTCTGAAACATGGTCAGATTGAGAATTATTGTGGAATGTTGATTAGTTTAGTATTAAAACTTCAAAACTTGGTTATTTAAAAAAAATCAAATAATTTCTCTATCAAATACAAAAGTTGGCACTTGACATGAAAATATTGAGAAGAGATTTAAAAGTTTCACAAATAGCAAACAATAAAAACAAAAAGTTTCAATACACATAAATTAACATGTTTCTCACCTAAAAAACACATCAAAACTATTTTATAACAAGACTAGAAGGAAACTCGTTGAAGAAGAAACATAAAAGGTACTCCTTCCGTCCCACAATGAGTGATTGATTTGGAATAAAATAGTATCATAAAATGAATGACTCATTTTAACTTTCCAATACACTTTTTTCAATTCTACTATCTAATTAATTAAACTTTTATCATTTTCAAGACACGATTAGGGGTACCATACTAAAAACATTATTCTCTCTTACTTTTTCTACATTTTTCTTAATATATACGAAATTTTGAGTTGAGTAACTCATTGTGGGATGAAGGGAGTAATAAAAAAACGAAAACTAATGAAGAGAATTTGAACACGAATAAAACAATCATAATTTATAAGAATGACAATGACGAGAAAAACAATAGTGGAGGACATCCATAGTAACATTTTGGCGAGAACAAATTTTTATGGTCTATAATTTCTATTTTTTAATGTTTATAGTTTAATTTTGAGTACATATTTTATTTAAAGAAAGAAAGTGTAAAAAAGGATGGAGAATGACCGATACAAAGTTTGAGAACCAAACCAAACCATTTCAATTTTAATTGATTTGGTTCGATTTATAAATCAAATAAAAAATACTTGATTTTTTCTATTTAATTTAATTTAAATTATCGATTTAATTGATTTTTTCTACCCTACCAATAATATCAAGAAAGTAATTCAAGTATTTAATTAAATAACAACAAAATAAAAATGTGAAGGATCCCAAGTATTGATTTGAGAAGAGAGTGTTGAAATGCAAAAGAGTTAATAAATGCAGCAAATCCAATTGTGAGAGGCAGAAGTTGACAGACTGACGAGACGAGACGACGACGCCATTTCTGACCCGTCTGTCACTCCGCTGCAACCTTCATGTGCTTTTCATTTCTTCTCTTATCTCACCACTCATTCACTCTCTCAGATCCAATCTCACCCCTAAACTTAACCACACACCCCCCACTCTCCCATTTCCTTTCATTTTCACGTACTTTCTTCCCCTCAATTCACCGAAACTTCCACTTACCTACAAAACCACACAACCTTATCTAACTACCCCTGTAAACACCAAATGCACTAACCAAATCAGATTCACTCCAGATGGAAGATATATCAAAATACGCACACAGTCCTGTCCACGTGGCTGTTGCCACCTCCGACCACGCTTCCCTCCGCCGCCTCGTCTCCACCGTCCCCAACCTCCCCAAACCCGGCCAAGTCACCACAGAATCCGAATCTCTCGCCACCGAGGCTCTCGCCGAAAAAGTATCAGCCGTCATAGATCGTCGCGATGTCCCCGGTAGAGAAACCCCTCTCCACCTCGCTGTACGTCTTAGGGATCCAATCTCCGCCGAGATTCTAATGTCCGCCGGCGCCGATTGGAGTCTTCAGAACGAGCAAGGCTGGAGTGCTTTGCAAGAAGCGGTGTGTAATAGAGAGGAATCGATTGCTCTTGTTATCGCGCGTCATTATCAGCCTCTTGCTTGGGCGAAATGGTGCCGGAGATTGCCGAGAATTATCGCTTCCGCTTCGAGGATTCGCGATTTTTATATGGAGATTTCTTTTCATTTTGAGAGTTCTGTTATTCCATTTATATCGAGGATTGCTCCTTCTGATACTTACCGTATTTGGAAACGCGGTTCCAATCTTCGTGCTGATATGACTTTAGCTGGTTTCGATGGGTTTCGTATTCAACGTGCTGATCAGAGTTTTTTGTTTCTTGGCGAGGGTTATACTTCTGAGGATGGTAATGTTAATCTTCCACATGGTTCTTTGCTTGCTCTTTCTCATAAGGAGAAGGAGGTTACCAATGCTTTGGAAGGAGCTGGTGCTCAGCCTACTGATGCTGAAGTTGCAAGGGAGGTTGCTATGATGTTTCAGACGAATATGTATCGGCCCGGGATTGATGTTACTCAGGCGGAGCTTGTTCCGAATTTGAATTGGAGGCGTCAAGAGAAGACGGAGATGGTTGGAGATTGGAAGGCTAGGGTTTATGATATGCTCAATGTTATGGTTAGTGTGAAATCGAGGCGGGTTCCTGGTGCTTTGAATGATGAAGAGGCTTTTGCGAATGGGGAGGGGTATGATGATTTGTTGACTGCTGAGGAAAGAATACAATTGGATTCAGCGTTGAGGATGGGGAACTCTGATGGTGTTTGTCAGGAAGAAGAACTTGGAGGAGGGGGAGGTGAAGGATTTGATGGTCGCGAAAATGTTTATGAGAATTGTGAAGTCAATGGTGTGGTTAAAGAGAAGAAGGGCTGGTTTGGATGGAACAAGAAAAGCTTGAAGAATGGTGGTGATGAACATGAGGATTCAAAGAAGTTTTCAGTGTTGGGCCAAGAAGGTAGCTACCAGAGAAGTGATCAGCAAAATCCACAGCCTGACTTTCAGAAGGAAGATCACTCAGATAAAAACTCGAAGAAAGGAAAGGATCAAAACTTGAAAAAGAAAAAGAAGAAAGGAGCAAGTAAGGAGTCTAAGAGTGAGAGTGAGTTCAAAAAGGGTGTAAGACCTGTCTTGTGGCTGACACAAGACTTTCCTTTGAAAATAGATGAACTTCTTCCATTACTTGATATCTTAGCAAACAAGGTGAAGGCTATTAGGAGGCTCAGAGAACTTTTGACAACTAAACTTCCTCAAGGAACCTTTCCGGTCAAGGTAACCCAAATACTATCATAAATATTATTGCTTCATTTGTTATATTTGCTGCTTCATTTGTTATATTTAGCTGTGATTCTGTTCATATATTTGTTACATACATTAGACTAGATATGTTAGGACCCTTTCTTTGAGTAAGAAAAGTTTCCCAGAATAGAACAATGTTGAGTAATCTAAAGAATGAAGATTGCTAAAGAGATACTAGAATTCTTTATTTTACAGCAATAGGAAAGGAAAAGAACAGGATATTCTCAAAGGAACACTCTCCTTTCACACTGGATTAACTGGTCATAAAACTCAATTATTCAAAGCTATCTCCCACTCTTCCACTTCAGGACTATTTAAAGAATTTCTAAAAATAACCACAGTAACAGAACTTAACAACCACCTAGTAACTAATTAACTGACTTATTTTCCTAACAACTCTTAACTATTTAGATTATCCTTTATTCTATATCCTAACAAGATACGCGTCTATTATTTCCTTGTCTGTGTCAAGGGTAGTGAGTTTATGAATAAACACATACTTTTATTCTCCACATATAGCGATGTCCATTATTCTGGTTATCAGATGATTTTTCCATATATGAAGGGTCTGTTTGCTTTCAGAAAATGTTATTTGTTTCCGTTATCTGTTTTCATGTCTAATTACCAAGTTGTCTTATTGTACATAAAACTGAGGAGAAACAGTTCTTTTTCTATAACTAATTTCTGTATAAAACTACTAATATTTGAAAGCAGAGAACATAATGAAAATAATGTGACATTTTTGTAATTATAAGGGGAAAACAGGAAATGAATAGAATAAATGTTTTCTCAAACTGAACAAGGCTAGGGTTCCTCAATAATGCAGCAACATTGCATCAGACATCCCTATATATTTTACGTCAACTCAGTCCCATGATAATGCAAATCAATCTAGTCCCAATCATGCAAAATGTCATCAAACTAGTCCCTAAGTCAAGGCTCCTCCTCTGCTACACATTTATGTCATTCTGACAAAGAACTGATTTTGGTGACATTCTTCATAATTGAGTTGATAACAAAAATTTCCAAGGTCTTATAAGTAATAAGTGATAACACTTGTACTTTATGAGGATGAAAATAGGTGTTTATTCTTTACGTTTTTTTTTTGTTGAAACAGTTGCAGTTTGTCTAGCCATTCTTCCCCCTCTGAAAGTTTTTTATTTCCTATTGTTGGGTTGGGGGTTATCTACATTTCATTGATAGTGCATGAGTGATAGATACTTTCTCTATTGTCACCAGTGCAAACTAAATGTGGTGTTTTCTTCTAGAAAAATCCACATGATTGTTTTTGTTAATGCATATTTCTCTATTATTTGTTTCCTAAAATTCTCATTGAGAGTTTATTGTAAATTATTGTAATCTCTTTATAAGAAGTCATTGACTGATGAACTAAATATAACAGCATTACCCTACTTTTTCTACAAATCTTCTTGATTTCCACCGATCTAGTTCCAAATATTGATTGTTTTCTAAGTGGAGATACTATTATCATTCTATAGTCAAATATGTGACTCGAGCTTCTTAGCATCAATAGTTAAGATATTTATGGTTCCTAGTTTTTTTCTTCTTTGGAATCTTTGTCGTAATTGAACATTTGCATTGAGATGTGTTAAAAGAATAAGAAGTTTCTCAAGTCCCTGGCTTATATCCGTATTCGTTAGGCTGACACATGGTGTTTATTCATATATAGCTTTTCATCATCTGTGCAGAACAATATATTGCAAAGCAAATTCCATATGTTGCCCAAACATCATTAAAATGTAGCGGTGCAAAAAGGCACCAGGCACCAGTGGTGCCTTTTCTTTTTTCATTATATACTTTGCTCCTAGATATGAAAACTCTAGCGCTGCAAGAGTAAAGTCACGTTGGGTCAGTGTTTGTCTGTTGTATGACATTGTATTGGATAATCAAATTAATATTTCATACAACTAATCAATCGATCATATTGTTACTATGTTTATCTATTTCCTTCTATTTTTTATAAAACACGTTGGGTCAGTGTTTGTCTGTTGTGACATCGTTTCTCATGGCTCTGGTTATACTTCTGCTGTGCAGGTAGCCATTCCTATAGTCCCTACTGTAAGAGTTTTTATCACTTTTACAAAATTTGAGGAACATCAGACAACCCCAGAGGAATTTTCAACACCACCCACTAGCCCAATCTACTTCCAGGATCCCAAATCCAAGGAATCAGAAAGTTCGACATCCTGGATTTCATGGATGAAAGGAAATCGTGGTGTGCTATCTAGTGACTCTGATAGTCATAGTCTCAGTCACAGATATAAGGATGGAGTAGACCCTTTCATTATTCCTTCAGACTACAAATGGGTGGATGCAAGTGAGAGGAAGCGTCGCATGAAGGCAAAAAGAGCCAAAAGTAAGAAAAATAAGAAGCAGACAGTCCCTAAAGGAGGAGATGGAGCACAACAGGGGAGTGATGATGTGGGAGAATTAAACCAATAGTGTGGTATATCTGCATGGCTACTTTTTATAATCGCCACCAGAGAGAGAAAGTGTAAAGACAGTATTTTTGCACAGCTGACTATACTTTTCACATTGGATGAACTTGCCACAAATTTACTGGAAACTTTATGCCTCTTAAGTGTTTCGCTCGTTTGTTAGATTGGTTCAGAGTTGTCATCATCTGAAAAAATTCTGTATTGTAATATGAAGCGAGAGTATTGCATTCAATTAGTTGGCTACTTGGTTTCATGCTAAATTTCGTGAAGATACCAATATTTGTATCTGCATCTATGTCTGGTTGATCTTGCATTTTCGTGAGTAGTATCTCAAGTCTGTATTCATTGTTCATTGTTCAAGTTTTTGGCTATTTTTTGAACTAACATAGTTAAATTTGTTGATTATTGTAACTCTTTTCATTTTGATAGTTTGAATCTGCTTGCTTTTTCTTTTCACCAAGGTGGATTATTGAATTTTCTTTACATTTTATATATTCTTACCTAAAGAAATCAATCAATATTCTTGAAGGAATCTTGTTTATGTAAAGTGATACGCCTTAAAAAGATCCTACTTTTCTCTTTTGACTAAACAGATCGTAGTTAAGTATTTAACAAAGTTCCAAGTCCATGCCTCCTATAAATGAAGTCCCAAGACAGAACACAGGAACAAGGCACAAATCGAAAGACTTGTGCAACAAATAATCAATCATATTATTGTAATATTTACAAATGATAAACTTTACAAGACATTACCAAAATCTGTCCTTGTTGACACTCAAGTATCCAGACGTTACCTTACCCCCAGTATTTCTCATTCCATCTATAAGAAAAGACCAAGTAGAACCCAATGCCCCAACAAAAAAATCTGAATCAGCAGCCATTAAGAAATTAACTAGTGGATAATTAGTACTGGTCTCTCTACCCAGTCTGCCTTCATAATCTGCCATCGACATATTAGCCCTAGCTTGGCGTCCTACCTTTGTATAGTAAAAGTTCCAATGTGAATATTCTCTGGTTTTGACAATCACTTGCTGAGTCAAATCAACAGTAGAATTTGTATTAGACTCTAACAAACTAGTAATTAGTGCCTTAGTTAAACGATTTAGACCATCGGAGTAAGATCAGACGAATGGGCCGTTCTTGGTTCGATAGTCCAAATTGTTTAACTGCAGCCATGCGGAATTCCATGCGGAACCATGACCATATGGAATTCAGATAGATAACTAGTACCTGCATCTCAGTAGAAAGCCAAATGCTATTAAGATTTGGAAAGCGACTCCGAATTTGATCAGCAAGCTGCATGTATTCTTCGAATTCAACAACCTTCATTTCGCCTGCTTTGTCTCCCATCCTTACATGCATGCTTAGAAGAGGCCTAGGGACCCAAGGCTTGTGATTGGACCATACATATTCATCAATTTCAGACCTTGGTCTGTCACTGCTTTCCTGAGACAAAGGAGTAAAGGGAAGTATATGCATTTCATGAATACTAATTCAAGACCAATATTTACCTAATATGTAAAACTTCTGGTGTGTTTATCAAATAATCTGAACAACTACCCTCAAGGTAAAATTAGGTAGCTTTTCTTATAGGATAATTTTTCATGCTTCGACTTTTAACTCTTAATACTCCTTATAAGAAAAATAGTGCAAAAAATTTAACAACCACCTTAGACCAGTCTGCATCAAGACTTTGAAGAGCCATTTTTGCAGCTAATTTTCCAAAGGCGGCATGACGGGCCTCATTCATTAAATTGCATGTGTATTCAGTTGGAAACCTCATGAAGTAGCGTACAGCCTGAAAACAATAATTACGATAGCTAAATTATGGTCTGGTTGGATAGATTTATTTGAGTTATCTACTGAGATAAACACTTGGGAGACTGCTTGGAAGAACTTATGAATACAACAAATAACATGTACATAAGATGTTTTCAGTTTATTTTCATTAACTCCGTGATAACCTATGAAAACTATAACCAAAATAAGTACCTGTGCTCTCCACCACCTTCTATCCATTTTTCTATGAGAAATCAACAAACTGCCATTTATATAAGTTGTAGGTTGCAAGTAAATCCATGGACGTCCCCACTTCCTGAAGTATATATTAGCATTGGAAGACCAAAACAACTGTAAGTACATTCAGAATCTCAGCATGGAAGCAATCGTCATCATAAATGAAGTTCTGATAAATTTACCTAGGAGTTGGTCCATTCCATATACGCTTTGTTGTATAATTTTCTTTTGTGGTCACAACTCCTTTGCTCAACGCGTCTTCACTTTTCATAAGTTCAAATGCTCGCTGACGACATTCAAGGGATGTTTCCAGAAAGAAGTAACAACTCCAACTAGACCTGGAAGACCCTGCATGAGAGAGAGTTCACCTTTTCATTTTTTACTTTGCCAACATTATTCATGATATATGAAGATGAGGATTCTCAGAAAATCATATACCTTTGCAACCATCGTGATCGGCTCTGTTGTAATGGTTGGCAACTAGGACTCTTCCTTCATTGACCGCTATACCAAGAAGTCCACTCATTGAAGCAATCTGAGCCCCAATGCCAAATCCAGGCAGTCTTTCCCAATCAGCAACAAGGAACTTCACATTCAGGTCGTTACAGTTTAAAGGGTGTTGATGGATCCATATGTCGCGCTGCACTTTTCTAGTCAAGGGATAGTTATCTTCATCAGATCCTACAATCTGCAAAAAGAAGTTCTGATGAGCAATGTAAGAGTCCTTTTATGTTCTAACGAAATTCATATTATTCCTTAAACTAGTGCATGATTGTTAGTTGAAAATCGCACCCACGGCGGATAAGCTCCTTCAGATACGGCCTCATCTTGCTTTGGATTTTGTATGTGCTCATTTGGAACAACAGGCAAAGTCTGCAAAAACCCCTTCCAACTTGTCCATAACGGAAACGTCTCATTTCCTATACGCGTGTCAAAATTGCGATAAAGTTGCGTTTTCAACTTGCAGTTTTCCAAATGTGGAGCATTAGGCAAACTAGACCATAAGTCCCAATTGTCCCCATTTCTAGATTCATTCAACACTGCACTCCAAACTGAATAAAGCGACGAGACTCTTTCGTCGCTGTCTCTCTCTCTAGTGCTCTTCAAATCCAACAATCTCTTCGTTTCCTTAAGCTTAACATTGCAGTTGAATCCTGTAACCATGTCTAAGAAAACAAACAAATCATGTTCTTCCATCAGTAACCAGATTAAATCCTGCATTAGTACATCATCATGATAAGTAATAAGTGATTATTTAAAGAATGTCATCATAAACTAATGATGTCATCAAAACATTGCATATACTCTTTCCTCCTATCCCTAGCACTCGTCCAGGTATCCTGTTTGGATTGACTTATTTAAACTTATCTACTGGCATAAGCACTTCTGAGATTATTTGGAATAGCTTATGTAAGCAACTTATGTGTCCATAAGTTGCTTCATACACAAGCATTAATTCCTTCTCATTAAGTTAGCTTCATGGTTAAATTCATTGGATACACCAAACTTTGATTACAACAAAAATGAGCAGGACTCATAACCTCTGTAGCACGACAACTCTAAAAAAAGACGTGTATGCGTCCGTGTCATTGTAATTACATTCAATTTATTCATTTTTAAAATTATTATCGGTGTTTGATGTGTTAGTGTTACTGACATGTCCGGTGTCTGCATCCGTGCTTCATAGTTCATAATAGACCAAGTTAATTTTCTTCAAGAAAAGAGAAAAAAACAAGGATGAAAATAAGAAATGGTTGAAATAAACTTACTGATATTGTTGTGAGAAGTAGAATTATTATCCATTGACAGAGATGAAAACAAAATTGGGCCAAAATGAAAGGTACCAAAAGAAGTCAAAGCAGCTAAGAGTAGAGAAGTTAAGCAAACTCCAGATAGAAATCCAACAACACAAATTTGACAAGAAAATGAATTTCCCATTTGTAGTGCTCTTTGAGAAACCACTCTCTCAATAGATTTCTGATTCAATGCTTCCATTTTTCACTAGTATTGTACTGTGCCAACTACTCCAATGATCAAGAAACTTCAAAAGTCACACAATTATTTGCACTTGGAAAACAGTTTTGAGAAGAAAGGTAGATATGAGTTGTTATGTAATTGGAAAGTTGAAAAGAAAAGCATCATAAGAGAACACAAAAACAAAGACATGCAGAGAAAAGAACAAAAGTTTCAACCGGTGAAGAAGATAAGAATATGATACAATACAACACAAATACAACAGCTTTATGAGAAAGAAAGCCTTTGGAAGATCAACACATTTTTTATATATAATAACATGTGTGTGAGTGAGTGTGAAACATTGTTATAGTATAATAAATTACAATATCTTGCTTATAAGATAGACATCAACATTAAATGTAAATAAATATGTGGGTTTTGTATCAGAATAAGATAGGTCTTTAATTTTGGTCCTTGAAATAATATGAAATATTATTTGAAAAGGGGTAAAAGGATAGTACAATTGGACTTACCAAATGAAAAAAAAGAGGGAAAGTGATGGGAGAGGGTGAGGATATTTGTGCATAGGAAGTGGAAAGAAGACAAAACCAAACCAATTGAAAACATCCATGCAGATGCACTGATTCAAATTTGTAACCTATAAGTCTAGAGTGGTGGTGGGTCCAAAGAAAGATAAGTAAATGTATTACTTCTCTTTCTCTCCTTAATACATACTCCTCTCTCTCAAATTATAAGAGAAATTTAATTTTTAGATTTATTGAATAATTAATGTATCTGATATATATATATATATATATATAGACCAAATACATTAATTATTTAATGAATCTAAAAAGTGAATTTCTCTTATAATTTAAAACGGATAGTCAAAATAATAATAGTAATAATTTATATAAAAAAATTGTGATTTCTTTTAATAAATGTGAATAGTCAAAATATATAACTTATTCTATTAAAAAATAATTATAAATATATATGAATTAGAAACAACTTAAATAATATTAATACTTTTATGCTTAACATGTCACCCATCCAATCAACTTGTTTCATGATTTAAAATTATAATTTTTAATATAATATTCTTAAGATTATTATTTTTAGGAAATATTGTTCTAACTTATGTGTTTAGTAGGAATTTATATTCTTAAAAATAATTTTAAAATTTGTTTAATTTTAAATTATATAAAAAATAATAATAAATAAGATGCTCATTCCTATTTCCACTTTCCCATTTTCTGTACAAAGCACTCCTTCATTCTTTCTGCTTATGCGTTGATGTTCTGTTCTCTTTAATGAAGATGTTTTGGCATAACTAATATTTTCTCTCCTTTAATGCAGTAACACTATCGATTTTATGATGCTTGATTATTTTTTTTTGTTTTTTCTTTTTAAATAAGTTTGTTTATGTTAAAAACTCATGTTTTGCCATTTATATGAGTTCGATTACGTGTTTTTTAAATTTTGACATAAAAATTACATTGGTTTTGTGCTTTTTATGTTTTGCTATGTTAATGAGTTTGGTTTAAGTTTTTTTTTTTTATCATTTCCTTTACCAAAAGAATTTGGTTAAGTGGATTGTTTTTCACGTTTGCTTTTCAGATTGAGTTTTTTAAATATTTTGACCTGTGTGTATGCCAATGTTTTTAACTAATGTTTTGCCCTAATTGGGTGTTTTTTGAAAATCGAGAGGATACCTAATTTAACGGCACATTTCAAATCTTAGTCACTACAATTTAAATTTTTGTTTCTTTTTAATCATTTATTTAATTGTAAAGTGACTTTTTTTTAATATTTTATTTTTAAATAAAAAATAAGCTATTTTTCACAACATGAAATGTTAGACTCTAATAGAGTTTATCATCTCCATTAACAACAATATCTCTAAACATATATCATCATCAACTCGTTCACCATCTTTTTGTTAGTGCAATGTGATGAAATTGAGGAAGAAGAGAGAAAAGGAATAAATGCTAAAAGCTGTCACTAATGATTGAAGGAATTGATTGTATTAAAATGTAAACCTAGTACACCTATTTATACACAAACAAGAATGTCACATAGGTCCTAATCATAGAAATTATCTACAAATGACAAATACTAAATTACCCTCTAATACCATCCCGTAATTTAGTAACTTATCAGAAGTTAATAACACCAATTTCATCTCTCAAGCGAAGAAATTGGTCTATTTTTATTGCCTTGGTCAGAACATCTGTCAGCTGCTTCTGGGTGCTACAGTGCAGAACTTCTAACACTCCTTTCTGCACTTGACTTCTGAGAAAGTGATACTTCATCTCAATATGCTTGCTTCTTCCATGCAGCACTGGATTCTTGGCAAGATTAATTGCAGACTTATTATCAATCATCAGCTTCATAGGTTCCTCAACTTCAACCTTCAGATCATGCAGCAGATTTAGAAGCCAAACTGCTTGACAAGCAGCTACATCACCTGCAATGTATTCCGCTTCACATGTTGACAAAGCCACAACAGGCTGTTTCTTGGAACACCAAGAAATTGGACCTCCCAGAAACTTGAATAAGTACCCAGAAGTGCTTCTTCTGACAACTCTGTCTCCACACCAATCAGAATCAGAATAACTCAGAAGTTCTGATTTGATCTTTCCTCCAAAAGGAAATAGCACTCCATATTTCAGAGTTCCTTTTATATACCTCAGAATCCTGACAGCAGCTTGGTAATGAGACCACTTTGGTTTGCTCATGTATCTGCTGACCATTCCAACTGTATAATAAATATCAGGTCTGGTATTACACAAATACCTCAGAGAACCAACCATCTGTTTGAAGGTTGTAGCGTCCACATCCTCTCCATCAGAATCAGAGTCCAACTTCTGATTCGTATCAACAGGTGTGATAGAAACCTTGCAATTTGTTAGCTCAAATCTCTTCAGAAGCTCTAGTTCATACTTCTTCTGATGTAAAATGATTCCTTTCTCAGAGTATATAAGTTCCATCCCTAGAAAGAAACTCATTTTTCCAAGATCTGTCATCTCAAACTCATTCATCAGAACTTTCTTGAACTCAACTGTTTCTTGTTCAGAACTTCCTGTGAATAATATGTCATCAACATACAAACATACCAGAATCATATTACCTTCTGAAGTATGCTGAACATAAACACCATACTCCATCTCACACTTCTGAAACCCTTGTTCCTTGAAAAACGAATCAATCTTCAGATTCCAAGCTCTGGGCGCTTGCTTCAGTCCATACAGAGCTTTATTTAACCTGTATACCATCCCTTCCTGATTCTTTTTCACAAATCCAGGAGGTTGTGACACATAAACTTCTTCCTGTAATGGACCTTTCAGAAATGCAGACTTCACATCCAGATGTATCAAAGGCCAATTTCTGTTTGCAGCTAAAGCAATCACCAGTCTGATTGTTTCGTGTCTAGCTACAGGCGCAAACACCTCAAAGTAATCTAGTCCAGGTTTTTGAAGAAAACCTCTGGCCACTAATATCGCTTTGTGTTTGCCAATTGATCCATCTGGCTTTAGCTTCTGCTTGAAAACCCATATGACGCTGATAGCTTTCTTGCCTTTTGGAAGTTTTGTCAGCTTCCAAGTCTTGTTTCTTTCAATAGCCTCAAGTTCTTCGTTCATGGCATGCAGCCATACTTTCTTCTTGAGCGCTTCTTCAATACCCACTAGTTCAGAATTTACTAGCATGGCACACTGAACGATTTCTCCTTCAGAATCTACTTCAGTATCATGTAACATGCTAAAATATGCAAACATGCTTGGTATTCGTCTGATTCTCTGTGGCCTCTGATCTTGTTCTGAAGCTTCTCCAGAACTCGAAACTGTGCTAGCTTCTGGACTTTGTCCAGAATTATTTCCTTCAGAATTACCACCTTCAGAGTTACTTCTGGAAACTTGTTCTCCAGACCCCATGTCTTCAGAGTTTTCCCTTCCAGACGTATAATCACCATCAGATTCTGAATCATCATCAGAATCTGGATCAGAATCAGATCCACTATCAGAATCTCCCTGAGATTCTGACTCATCTTCAGAATCTTCTTCTTCTGACTCTGACTCGTCTTCAGAACTTTCTTCAGAAACTAACCCTGGTGTTGGCACTACCCCAGAGTCTGATTGAAGCTTGTTCCAATCCCATGTTTCCGACTCTTTCACAATGACGTCTCTGCTGATCTCAACTTTGGTGGTTTCTGGATAATAAAGCTTGTAGGCACCTGTACTGTGGTACCCCACCAGTAACATTGTTTTTCTTTTATCATCCAGTTTTCGTCTTCTAGCCTCTGGAACGTGTTTGTAGCATACAAAACCAAACACCTTCAGATGGCTAAGACTTTGCTTGTCTCCAGTCCATTTTTCTAAAGGAACAGTTTCCTTCAGCTTCTTTGTTGGACACCTATTCAGAACATATGTTGATGTGGCAACAACTTCTCCCCATAACATGTGAGGTAACTTCTTCTCTTTCAGCATACTTCTAGTCATATCAAGCAAAGTTTTGTTTCTTCTTTCAGCAAGACCGTTGTGCTGAGGAGTATATGGAGCAGTAACCTCATGTTCTATTCCATTCTTCTCACAGAACTTCTGGAACTCTGTAGAGTTATACTCACCTCCACCATCTGTTCTCAGAATCTTCAGCTTCTGACCACTCTGCTTCTCAGCCTTCACCTTGAACTTCTGAAACTCAGTAAACACTTCATGCTTGAACTTGATGAGTGTTACCCATGTCATTCTTGTGAACTCATCCATAAAAGACACAAAATATTTGTTTCCTCCAAGTGAAAGTACTGGAAATGGTCCACACACATCAGAATGTACTACACCTAGAGCATGCTTTGCTCTAGGGGCTACTTCTGATGCAAATGGAAATCTGGGTTGCTTGCCTTTCATGCATATCTCACATGACTTTTGAGGCTTCACAATCTTCGAAATGCCATGTACGAGATTCTTAGAACTTAGATGCCCTAAGCTTCTATAGTTCAAGTGCCCCAACCTCTTGTGCCACAGCTTACTGTCAACTTCAGC